GCAGAGAAGGGGCAGAGGGCGTCAGGTCGACGGCGGAGCTCCGGCGAGGGCATGGTGAAGATGTGGTCATGGTCTTGGAGGCTACGCACAGGGCCGGCGTGGTCGTGGTCGACTGCGACTACTGCTGGTCATAGAGAGAAGGCAGGGACGTGGCTGGGGTCGTGCAGACGGTGGTCGAGGCGAGGACGTCGGCGCCGCTGGGCAAAGAGGCAGGGCCGAGCGGGTCACGGCCAAGGCGAGCTTGCGGCCTGTAGGATAGGGTGGTTGCACGCCGTGGCCATCTTAGCGAGGCAGCAGGGTGGCATAGAGGAGGGACTCCAGCAGCAGGGGTTCGGCGTCGATCTCCAGCGGCGAGAAGCGGGGTCGCGCTGGTCGCTTGGCAAGGATGGGGACGCCGGCTGACGCAATGTCGGAGCACGGCATGGTGAAGGACGCCATCGGGGAGGCTAGTGAGGTGGCACGGACAATTAGAGCAGGGCCTCATCAGTCGGCTGCTGCAGCTCCTGGCCGTGGTCCGGCGCGGCGAGGAGCTTCGACGAGGCTAGGGGCTGGTTTGGCTGGCGACTGGCTGAGGAGCGTCGGTGGAGCGAGGTCGACGAGCGAGGACGACCGAGGTGGCTGGGGTGTAGGGACACGCGGAGTGGAGAGGGAGAGCCATGGTGGGGCAAGCTCCCGCATGGCTGCCACGCGCTCCCCCTTAGAGGCATATTCCCAAGCATCTGGTGGACGACGACGTGGCCACTTTGGAACCAAGTTTTAGGCATCTTTGAGGCATATTCTGGAGTGGGTGATTAAAGCAAAGTTGTAGCTCTCCTGATGGTCTACAAACTTGATTGAGGGGTCATAGCCATTAGGGCTTTGAAATAGCAGTTAATTAGCATCCAATTTGCAAGTGTCAACGTGTTGACGCTGATGAATCAAATTCAAAAATCGATGGTCAAGACAAGGTCAAACGAGTGCCATCTTTTTGTATACTCTCCTCTTGTAAATTGCCTCCAACTTTTATCTTTGGACCAAATCAAGTTTCTTAACAAAATTTGGAGAACGCAGAATGCCGACATGTCAATGTTAGTTTAGTGACAAAGTAAACTTTTGATGTTTTGGAAACTATTTTTGAAGATCCAAATGAACTCCAAATTTGATGAGACTTGATTGATTATTTTCACCATGAAAGGTAATTCAACTCATCTTAAGGAATCCAATTGAGCTACCACATGAATTTGGATGATAAAATATCGCAAATAAGTTAACTTACTGCTGTCACTTCAGGGACTTAGAAAAATTTACCGGGAGCCTAAGACAGCAGCGGATTCAATCTTCAAGTCTCTGTTTAACTTCGTTCCAAGCTGATCTGGCTCTAGGTTCAAAAACAAAGTTTGTTCTACTCCACTCAAACTTCAACTTTTATTTAAGGTGCAACTCCATGCAAGCAATGTAAGTGATTGGTCAACATAGGTCAAAATAGCATCACGGTAAAGCTTAAATTAGAGTTTTAGACCGATTGAGGCATTTTCTTGACTTTTGCTCAACATGAACCCTTCATGACTTTTGTTTTAGAGTTCAATTAGTCATTTGGGAAAGGTAGCAAGGTTTGGTCGATATCTCATATTATAGTTCACTTAATACAGCGATTCAAGCAAGGATGTAACTCATCATTTCATGTGGCTTCTTGATTCCAAACTTCATGAAACTTTTCCACTGGTCAAGATGGATGCATGTTGATGTAATGTACATGAAATAAGCATGTTTAACATTACTCTTGCATAATCTTAACAAGGGTACACATGTAAGCAAAGGTGTCTTGTCCAAGTTTAAGTTGGAGCTCACTCTTGTAGATTTGATTTTGACACCTTCATCACCACTTAACATGTCCTGTTTGAGCTCAAGCCCATTGCTTAACTGGTGACAAACACCTAGGGTGTTACAGCGGCTGTCGATCTCCAATGGCTATCTCTCGCGCGCCACTGCCATAGGACCGAACGCACCCCCTGAAGATGACCAGACGCACCGCAGCCTGGGTCCGGTTGTCACAGTGCACTCAAACACATGATCGGACTGGGCCTCCACGCCATGACCAGACCCGCCTTTGCCAGAGTTTGGTCGTGGTAAAAAACCACACTGAGAGCTCCCGAGGCCTTCGGACGGAGTCTGAAGCACCCCGATCGGACCCGTGCCCTAAGTCCGGTTCTCCTCGTGTTGCCAAGTCACCACCACGCCAATGCCACCGCACAACCAGACCCAGCGACCAGGGTCCGGTCGCTCCTCAACACTAGGTCCGACGCTCCTGCGCCACTGCTTCTCCTTTGCACACCACGTAGGCATAACCGGACCCGTGGCCCAGAGTCAGATCCGGCCGTGAAGCCAAGGTCCAGTCCTCCTGCTGGTCGCACCCGAGAGCAGGGGCTAATGACCGTACTCTCCCAACCAGGGTCCAGTCACCACGACAGCAGGGTCTGGTCCCAGTAAACTCCTCCTTTTCTTCCTCGAGTTGCTTCGAAACAACTCCATCAACTTCTCCTTTGCAAACATGCCAACACCACCAAGTGTACAACAACTTGTGCAAGTGTGTTAGGTTTTCACAAATATTTTCCCAAAGAATTAGTCACTCAAATCACCACGCTACTTGATCCTAGTAACGATGCAAAGTTAGATCACTCGGGTGGCACTATATGACCGATATGCAAATAAGTTTGCCCCTCATGATAGTACGACCATCTATCCTAAACCCAGTCATAAACTTCTCTACACGCCTATGACCAGTGAAATGAAATGCCCTGTAGGTTATACCTTTGCCTTATGCATTCCATTCCATCTCCTTCAATGTTGATGTAACACATGCACCAACCAATCACAAATGATATGATCCACTTCATTTCATCACACGACCTTGTTGCTTCATCGATCTTGACCTCACTTGCTTTTCACTGTTGCCTTCATCCATCGGCGCCAAGTCTTGCTTATGTTTTACTGCCACGTGGTCCATCGCTCCAAAGCCTCCAACTTGCCCTTCACGCTTGCAACCGGTCCATCCAGCCAAGTCTTGTCTTAATCTTCTCCTCCTTAGTCACATGACTCAATGTCACATCTCATATGCAATGAGCTCCTTCATCACATGTGTGAGCTTTGCAACATCTTCAAGCCATTTTCACCTCCATGGCATGTGTTGCTCACACACATGTACCTGTGGACTAATCACCTATATATCTCACTTTAAACATAATTAGTCCACCTAGGTTGTCACTTAATTACCAAAATAAAACAAGGACCTTTCACATGGCTCCCATCATCGTCAGCCGCTCATCCCGCCTTCCTATTCTTGCTCGTGCAAAGGGGGATCATGGGATCTCGATCCCTTGGCATGGGGAGGTCGATCTGACACAGGGAGAAAGGAGGACGTGGAGGAGCGGCGGGTGCAGCGCACAGGGTGGGGACCTGTTCCTTCCTCCCTCCAGCGAGCTCAAAGGTGATGGGCCAGGGACAGGAGCAGCCTACTGTCTTGAACCCATCCCCTTGTTGTTGTGTGTCTTAGCCCGTATGACCGGTGATGTTGCAATATCTGATTTTATAATGTTGTGTTTACTGTTTCTTCGTGTTGCATCGGATTTTTGGGATGTTGCAATGGATGATCTTTAAATGTTGCAATAGATGATTCATGTGTTGCAGAAAGTGAGTTTTTATGTTGCAGCACTGAAAGGTGATTTGAGTTGTTTTTATTTTCGTGTTTCATGGTTGATTTTGCGATGTTGCAGTATATGATATTATTTTTTTATGTTGCACGAGATTATCTTGAGAATGCCCCTGGGCAAACTTAATGTTGGATAGGAGATACGACCTCTAGGACGGGGACGGGGCGTGATGGGGATATAGGGGCGGAGTGTCGTGATGTGCCCTCCTGGCACGGACCGAAACATTTGATGGTTTAGTTTCTCGAATCGATGATGTCTAGGACCTGCGTCCGGACGCAGCCATGCGCCGGACGTCCGGACGCTAGTAGTGTCAATATTCTTGTCCGGATCTGCTCTAGTGGCGCCAGATTAGAGCTCGTCGGCGTGAAATTTTGCAGACCTAGAGGATTGGATGTGGGTAAGGTCGGTGTTGACAGAAAACCCAGGCAATTCATGATGAACCAAACACTGCCTCTCTCTTTTTTTTTCACGGACAATTTTTCAATCAATAAAAGGCAAGCGCCCAATGGCCCAAGCAGCTAAGAAGCCCAGGCATCTTGTTGGAGGTTCCAACAAACAGGCCCTAAATGCAGCAAGTACAACAATGGGCCAACAGATGATTCCAACAAACAGGCCCTATAGCCCATGGCTGCACCCGGAAAACCACATCGTTTAGCGGCACATAGGCCGAAGCGATGCCGCAAGCCTACGACGGCGCCGCGGTACCAATGACTCCCGGGCGATGATCCGCTCGGCCCTGCCGCGCGTCATCACCGCCGCCGATGCGGTTTTGCTCCGACCACTAAGGCCCTGTTTGGTTGGGCTTTTGGCTTTGGCTTTTGGCCCCAAAAGCCAAAAGCCCAACCAAAGGGGCTGTTTTTGGAGGGTGCTTTTTCAGAAGCAGCTGCTTTTCCGTAGTTCATTTTTGAAAGCTGGTTTGACCCTGCTTTTGGCTTTTGGCTTTTGGCTTTCTACTTTTCGAAATTGGTGGAATAAAAAGCTCTTCCATAGTTGTTTCAAGAGAGATAAAGATAAAAGGTATATTTTATACTTGTTTAACCAAACAGTTTTCAGCTTTTCTACAGCTCACAGCCCACAGCAGCTTTTCCACAGCTCACAGCCCACAGCAGCTTTCTCCCACAGCCACAGCTTAACCAAACAGGGCCTAAGGCCAACGATGTGCTATAGGTGGAGATAAATCATGGTGCATGTAGCTCAGTCCTCTAGCTGCATCAATTGCTATTGACATCCTCATTGGCCAATTTAACTGTTCAGTTGTCAGATCTCTCTGATGCAACCAATCATTTAGGCTACCATGTTCCATGTATTCATAGATCAAGAGCTTTGACTCGGAGGTTGATATGAAGCCCAGCAGCTTGACAATGTTAGCATGCCTGATAGATCCCCAATTTCAGCTTGAAACTGTTTTTCCAGCATACCATCCTTCTTTAGGCCATTACCTATTTTCTTGACAGCTATCTTGCAGTTGTTACCGAGGCATATCTTGTATACCTTTCCCAAGCCACCTCTACCCACAAGGTTATTGTTTGTAAGAACACAAAGAATGTCTTCAACATTGTAACTAGTGGGTTGGAAGGTTGTTAGCTTCCACTGTGGAGATGGAGCCTCATGCTTTTTCCTAGCCCTAATCTTAATGAAACAAAAAATCCCTGTGAATACGAGAATTGTTGAACCAAGGATTAGGAAAATGATTATGGGCCTTTTCAAATGTTTGTCTTGTTCTTCTGGACCTGGTTGTGTGCTACACATAGGATAGTTGCCAAAGTTGTAGGAGCAGAGACCAGGATTGAATAGAAAGCCCTGCTCAAATTCGTTTATCTGAAAAACAGGTGGAATATGGCCTGTCAGTTGGTTATTAGAGAGATTGAGGAGGGTAGGTCTCAGATATATAAGGTTTGCTGGTATTGGGCTAGAGAGGTGGTTCTCTAAGGCCTTATTTGGATGCGCATGTATTCATTTTGATCTACATGTGTTGAAGTGGATTGAAGTGAAATTAAACTAAGTTTCGTTCCATTCCACCCCAACACACGTGGATTGAAGTGAATACACATGCATCCAAATAAGGCCCGAGAGATCTATGGTATCAATTGCCATACTTAAATCCACGGTGTCTAGTGGGATGTTTGGGATCTCAACAGAGAGATTGTTTTTCCTAAGGTCAAGCTTCTTTAGGTACCGCATGTACCAGATCCTTGAAGGTAGTAACCCTGATTACATATTTCCAGCCAGGACGAGGACATGCAAAGGTGCATGTAGGATTGAGGTTTGTTGGGACTTCACCAGAGATAAGTTGTTTTCTGCCATTAGCATATTTAAGTTGTCTGCTGACATTGGTAAGGTTTTCCAGAGAATCTGTTATTGCTGATATTAATTGTTGTTATATTTGAACTCAACTTACTTGGCAGTGAGCCAGAGAAACCATTTTCCTGGATCATAATCATAGTCAACTCTGGCAGTGACCATATGCTGCTTGGAAAACTGCCTCTAAGCTGGTTATTGTTCAAGAATATGGACCTCAATTTCCTGCAGCGCAAGAGAGACTTTGGGAGTTCACCCGACAATCTATTATTGGAGAAATCAATGTACTGAAGGGCCTGAAATGAGCAAAGGCCCTCAGGTAGCTTCCCAGATAAATTGTTAGATGAAATTTCAATATTAAAAAGCATGGAATGCTTCCCCAGCTCATTGGGAAGTCCACCAGATAGAAAGTTGCGTGAGAGTTGCATATCACGGAGCATGGGAAGAAGTGCAATACCCTTCGGAATCAAACCTGAGATATTGTTGTCATGCAACAAAAGGAGGGTCAGGTTCTTCAGCTTACCAAAATCCTCTGGTATCCTTCCTGTGAGTAGGTTGTTTGAAACATTGATCTCGGTCAAACTCATTGCTTCAATTGGTCCACTTATATGACCACACAGAGAGGAGTTGTCTAGATAGAGCATTTCCAGACTTCTCAACCTCCAAACCCCACTAGGAATCATCCCATTCAATCTGTTAGAAGACAAGTCGAGTAGCCTAAGTTGACTCAGCTGAAACATGGTATCTGGAATTTCACCAACTATATTCATGTTGCTCATACACAAATATTTTATGTTGCTCAGATTCCCAAACTGTGGATGCATCCTGCCTGGAGCAAAGGGATTATAAGCAAGAGATAAAACTTGAAGTTCTGAGAGATTTCCAAGCTCTGCTGGGTAGTTTTCATTAAAATAATTGTTATCAAGGTGGAGAAATCGAAGACCATGAAGCTGGCAGATTGCACTTGGGATACTGCCAGATAAGCTATTTGATGCGAGGTTTAGATAGGCAAGCTTTGGTGACAATTTATGGATGTTTGCAGGAAGAAAACCAAACAATGAATTGAATGAGAGATCCAGGTGCTGAAGTCTAGATTCTTGGACAGATCGATGTAAAATAGACTCTTGAACGAGCAAATTGCTTTTGGAATTGGCTTGTAAAGGTCACGCCCAGCAAGTGATAAACCTGTTACAAAGCCATCTGTGCAAATGACGCCTGACCAATCACAATGATCGGTGTTTGTGATGGAACTCCAGTTCAGAGCCGCAGGCTTGCCCCAGTCTTGCTCAAGCTTTAGAAGCGCTGCCTTCTCAGAATCCCTAGTGGTGGACTCACAATTAGATTTGAGGATATGAACATTGAGGAGGACCAGAGTTAGCATGAGGATGCCATGAACAAGGTAGAGACTAGCCATGATAATGTCGGCGCAAAAACATGTCGATGCGCCTGGCACACAGCAAGCCGAAAGGATCTGCTTGACGGAGCAAGGCTGGAGATCCGCTTGGCTTCAACGTAGCACCAGCCAATCCTACGGATTCCTCCCGGGGCATGCCAGAACGTGTGTTGGCATAAAAACGTGTCGATGCGCCTGACATACAGCAAGCTGGATGGATCTGCTTGATGGAGCAAGGCTGGAGATCCGCTTGGCTTCAACGCAGTGCTAGCCGATCCTGCAAATTCCTCCCAAGGCGTGCCAGTCAATTTAACCTGCAATTGACAAGGAGAGAAAGTTTATCAGTAATTTAAGGTGGAACATACCGGTTTTGCCCAGACAGTTCCAAGTGTGCCGCTACGAGAGCAGCCGGACGGAAGAATCGACTAAATAGCCGATACGCGAAGAAATCGGCTATTATGGACTGTAAAGTTCGTGGGTCGCGATTGATTTTATGCTGATAAGTACAATGCACGCAGATATAAGTAAAATCATCAGCTAGGTGGATATTACCAATGTAAAGCATTGTGCCGATGAATCTAACGAAAAAGGATATAACATGTGAACAAATCGACTGTCTAGTACAAATGGATCTACAAACGCTCTGAATCTAATCTGTTACCACAAACAGTGAGGTTCGACCGGATCAATGGCAGCTATGATGATAGTAACAAACTAAACCGAAGAATCCATAAAACCGTTCATATATTGACAGATTTTCTGAAAGACATGCTATATCTGTGAAAGCACAAGCGAATTGGCTGAAATAGCCGATTTAAGTAGAAAAAGGGTCATAACATATGAACAATCGATTATTCAATACGAGCAGACCTATAAACTCCTCAAATCTAACATATTATCTTTAACAGTGGGGTTCGACCGGATCGATGGTAGCCATAATAAAGATAACAGACTAAACCTTTAAAGAAAACGGATCTATTCACATTAGCATCATGAAAACATGCTATGAACGTTAAAGCATAGGCGATCGGCTATTTAGCCGATGCAGGCATAGCAAACAATCAAGGTCACGCCTGATCAAAAATAAATCTACCAACTAGCATCCTTCGATCTAAAGTGCCATCAGTGGGGATCGACCGGATTGTTATAGCCATAATAGCGAACTATAGACCAGATTTAACTAACCAGCAAACCTCCTCAAGATTAGACATGCCTTAACCGCGTACTATGCACGATCAAGATCGAAGTAGAATAGCCGATGAAACATAACCCGTCGCTCAAAGTAAGAAACATCGTTTTGTAACAAAGTAAACAACGGACCAAAAGGATATGAAGCCGATCTAGATTGATCTCGACCGGACAGGTTGATGTTGTTGAAACTAATGGCAATAAGAACATCAGCAAAATCTTAGCTAGAGCCGATAACCTGACCTTAATCGAATTTGAGCAGTGGAGGTTGAACCTAACCGATGCAGCCGTATTTGAACTAGATAAGAATCGATAACTAGCTTATACTAGAGCTTGCAGTGGAGGTCGAACTTAACCGATGCAGCCTTACAAACGGAAGTATAAGCTATGACGGTACTTACAGACAAGCCGGAGGTCGGTCGGACCGATGCAGCCCTGCTTGTTGAAAAACTCACCGAGATCTACACTACTCCTACCCCTAAAGGTTGGCGTGAAGCCGAAAAAAGTAAATTGTATTGATTGATTGGATATCTTTTACAATAGCCGGGGTTCAATATTTATACCCGAAACCTAAGCATGAATCCTACTCAAATACGACTCATTATAATCTTTGGCATAAGAGAAAAACATTCCTAATTTAAGATAACTTGAACCCTAATCTTTCCATTTTTGTAGAGTCCGACATGTCTTTCCCGACACCAACCGTAGCTTATCGTCGTTATCTACTGACGTCATCTGAATAGAGCCGATTGCAGGGCCGCATCTGAATCAGCTGATATCGACTCTTATGCAATCGATTCCTTGATAACATAATCTTGGAAGCTTCAAGTTCCCGCGTTCTTCTTCCTAAATTTTGGTGTAAACACATGCCCCCTAATTTTGGGATAAAAATAATTTTATTCCAAAATTACCACGTCTGTATCCCCGATAGGTCCGTAGTCACGGGTAGAGAATCTTGATCTGAGATCTACTATCTGTCACCATCCTTGCCTGCTTGTGAGCCCATGCTTCAAAGCTTCACGAGAGCACCATTGTTTCACAGGCGCTTGGATCCATCTTTTCACATCGACTATAAATGTCTATCCGACTCTGACGAGAGTAACTCAACAACTCAGTTATGTTTCTCTTATGCTTGCTCCGTCGAGTGCCTTTAGCTCCGCCAGACCCTCCATGGTCTAATTCCTTGCTATGAGGGTCTTGAGTGGTTAGAAGAATTCTTGTGCATAGGGTGATTGTGTCACTCATTTCAGTGCCTTGTCGAGCAAGAGGATCAGCCACTGCGGTTAGAAGAATTCTTGTGACATCACCTGAGTTTTCTCACCATGATCGCAGAGCTGTTCTAGTGTTTGCAAGGGCTAAAATGTGTGGACACCTTTCCCTCGTTCGCTTTATCAAATGCTAATCACGGAAACCACATACTTCTTTCCCACGGTTTCCCAGCCACCGAGAAATGGGCATCTTTTAGCAGGCGGCTTTCTTTCCCATTGTTTCCCAGCCACCGAGAAACCGGTTGCATATATGGGCATCTTTTAAGTAGGCGGCCTTTTCTCTCCCCTGATGCACTTCTATCAGCGGGCTGATATGACTCGGTCCATAATGAACTTTGGCCTTGTGGGGATCCGGACTCCCTTTAATCTAAAGAAGTCTTAGTGGGTTGATCATTAGTTAATGTAAACCTTTTGTATTAATCCCATGGTATCTTGTAATTATGAGAAGCAACAAGTCTGAATCCGTTGTTTCTTTGTGATCTGTCCTCTGAATTTTTGGAGTGTCGATCCGTTTCCATAACTGACTTTATTTCCATAACCCCGACGAAGCCTATCTTCTCACCTCCTAGGCTATATATATGGGCCATGGCTGTGGATTGAAAAACAACCTGCTTTGTCCCAAACCTTCTGTGTCTTTGGTGCGATTTTTGCTTTCCCATAGGCTCGAAGGCATGGAGAATGACAAGAGGTCTGCTGAAGAGGCCTTTGATGGGTCTGTGTCACCATGCCAGCATCTTCATCATCAGGAGGATGCAACCCATGATCTTGGGTGGATGGACCTTCATCTGAACGCGTTGTAGGATGCTCCCTTTGTCTCGGAGCATAGGGCCGACTCCACTCAACCTCTGAGGTCGTCTTCATCAACAATTCGCCGCCCGCTCCCCCGCTACTCATGGAAGCAGATCAACAACAACGATATGATCGCATCCATCAATTAGGTTGGTCAGAAGCTCACCGACTGCCATTCCATCGCAAAATCATCTCTGGCCACTTTGGTTCAACACCGACCATCCTCCGATTCCGATCTATCGGAGGACAATCAGGAAACTCTAGGGGTTGCGGCCGCCATCCATCAAGATGCCCCAAGGGTCAAACCCACCGATCGGGTAGGGGAGAGGTTGGCCGAGGCCGAGGCTAGAATCTTGGGTGAGATGCCTACCACAATTTTCTGTTTCTTCTTAGTTTTGTCTTCAAGATCTTGATTATCCCTTCCTCGAATTTTTCTAGATCTATCGGCCCAGTTGGAAAGCCTTCGATCAGCTGCGGAGTACGCGGCAGGATTCGTCAATGCCAGGGGTGTCATGCCGGTGGTTCGCTTGTACGATGTCCCAAACCGCGTCAGAGAGGTTGCTCTTCACGGTGTTCGTCATGGTGCTGCCATGGCATTGGCTGCTACGCAAGCTCGCTCTGGCCATGAGCTTCGACTTCTTCCCCATGGTTTTCTAGCCACCGAACACCCTAAGGATCATGAGTGCCTGGTCAAGGATTTCTTCAACGCCGCCAACTCCGTAGCCCTTGCTTCCTAGGCCGAAGACATAGTGAACAAAGTGTTTTCTGGCCTTTAACTTGTAATACGAGAAGCTAGCAAACAATCTCTTCATTTTAAGTGGTTTCTCTTTTGCCCTGTACTCATGTTCCATGTACTAATTTGTCTGTGATTGTTTTTGCCCTATAGGTGATACATATCGTACCGGCTTTTACCCCTTCGGGTTTATTTTTGAACTAGAGGCGATATCCTTTTGATATCGGCTATTAGAGCCGATGACTGAACAAATCGGCTATCAAGTATTAATCCAAACGCTATGATAATATTTCTTTAGATATTTTTCATTGATTGCTCTGTCAAACTCTACTTCTCCTCCTAGTGTTTCCAAAATATAAGCATTGTCAGGCGCACAACGTTTAATCTGATAAGGTCCCTCCCAATTAGGTGACCATTTGCCGAACTTGCTGTCCTTTGACCCGATCGGCAATTTTGCTTTCCAGACTAAATCTCCTATAGAAAATTGCTTGCTCTTGACCTTTTTATTGTAATACTTCACAATCCATAGTTTATTGGCTTCAATATTCTCAAGAGCACGCAGCCGATGGCAACTCAAGTCCTCTAACTCGTCTATCATAAGATTCTTGTAGAGTTCGGCTAACAAATCATTTTGTAATGTGACACGTCTTGATCTAGTTTGAATCTCCCAAGGACGCACTGCATTATGACCATACACAAGTTCATAAGGTGATGTTTTAATTGATCCATGATAGGCCATCCTATATGCCCATAGTACCTCATTAAGCATTGAATACCACTTCCTTGGCTGCTTTTCAATCTTTTTCTTGATCAGCTTAATCATAATCTAATTGGACGCCTCTGCCTGGCCATTAGCCTGAGCATAGTAAGGAGAAGAATTTATCAACTTAATTCCCATACTGGTAGCAAAATCTCCAAACTCTTCTGATGTGAACATTGTCCCCTGATCAGTAGTAATAGTTTGAGGAATCCCAAAACAATACACAATATGCTCCTTGACAAAACCAATCATGTTCTTTGAGGTTATCGTCTTCAAAGGAATT